AGGGATTGTTCTTTTTGTTGCTGCTGTTGTAGTTCTTGTTGTTGTTGGGTTTTTGGGTGGGGTGGGGGCTTCTTAAGGGGAGTTTTTGGTTTTGATTTGTTTGGTACGTTTGGTTGTTGCTGTCTTTTGGGGGGGTTTTGTGTTTTTTTTTGTTGGGTGGTTTTTTGGGGGGGTTTTCATGACAGACAAACCTGTAAACCTGCGTATTTGACATCATTTGCATATTTCTCGGGGCACTATTGGCAGGCTGGAACTCCTGTAGTGACGTCCTTCGGCGGTCAAACGGGTAGGCCCAGCTGGCGTTCAGGTAGATGGCATTGACCAGTACCATAGAGGTGGAACGTCCTATAGACCCGGGGGCGATCAAGTCTCGGATCTTCCCACCTGTCGCGTTGGCAACCCAGTTGTTGATGGCTTGTTCTGGGTTCCTCAAGCTGAACGTGTCAAATTTGGCCAAATACATCTGTTGGACCTGTTGCCTGTTTTTGAAAAATAACAATAACAGTAAGTTATCTAGAAGTTTGAAAGTCACAAGACACATCGTACTGAAACGTGCACAGCATGCATATTTTAAATAGAGTATTGTAAATGTTTTGACCCCCCCCCCCCCCACCTCAAATAAAAAAGCTATTCTTGACGCATTCATTACACCATTTAGAAATCTGACACCGGGAAAAAAGCAACCAAAAATGAGATCAGGTGAATGAGTCTCGTTCCGGGAGTTTGCATATCTGAGATCAAAACAAAGATCTTATTTTTTTCTTAGACTTAGAGGTCACTATCAGTTGACGAAATGTGGCTTACAGCGAAATCATCCTGACACGTTTCTAGTTCAGGATTAGGATGATAAAACCCGTAAAGTTCTAGTTAAATATGGTCCCCTATCATAGAATATTATGTTAAAATCATCTTTTGAGCTTGATGTTGCAGCTATTCTTATATTGGCACAATGAACAATGGAGACCTTAAGTATTCGCAGTTGGGTCAAGGACGTTCCAAATGAGGACTTCAACTTGACATTTGCCAAAGAACCATTACATTAAAATAAAAAAAGGAGTGAGAATGCAGACAAAATCGGAGTAGGCCTATCAAAAAGTAACCCGCATATGAGAAACAGGAATGCTAAAAGCCTAAGAGAGGAGGGGTTAAAGAGTTTTAGCAATAATTATCTTCATGTTAGTTCAACACCATTTCGACTTCTGTCTTATACTGTTCCGGAAAAAAGTTATGCTGGCTTGATTACTGAATACTGGATGCGCAAGAAGACTACCACCAATGTGAGGTAAACGTCTACTTATTTTTATATAGGTTTCTAGTTTAAGTTAAACTTTAACTGTGAACACAAATTTTATTTAAACATCCAAACAAAGACAGAAGACGTCTAAAGTGAGCTACTTTGCAACAAATCCATAATCCGTAAATTATGTTTTATTTTAATGTATATGTTATTATGCCCATCCGCACAATTTAGATCATTTCGGATGTGGGCTCTGACCGGGTTGAAAGAAATACAAATAACCCAGCGGAAACTCCGAGATATTTGATATTTTAAAAATCTCCCTACACCAGGAATCATAGTCAGGTAATTTGCGTGTTGTGACGGCGAGGCGCATAGCCACTACACCACAGAGGCAATATGTTTCACGACGAGGTGGAATCAGACGATCGTCAATTTGGGGCATATCGATTTATTGGTCTCATCTTAGGTTGTTCATGTTTCATGCTTTAGGTGAAAAAAATATCAATTTATCTTGAATAGAAGTCGTGATATTTGCGATTGAAGGAGATGGGGTCGCCTGGTTTCAGAGGTAAAATTAGCGAGAAAATGACCGCCAAAATTTGGTTACTTCCATAGCTCAAGAGTCCTTGGAAACTGCAAATTTACATTTTTGTGCCTTTAATCAACGTTGTCCCATAAAATTCAAAAATAGTAAAAGTGTTTCTAAATGGACAAACAAGGTGTTTCAAACTGGCCGAAAAATGCTTGTTTCTTCGATTTCTTTACTTTGACGAGCGCTTGATTTCACCACCCCGCATTTCATAAACCATACCTGAACGCATCTTCCAGCGGTATATTTGGCTTGACAAAAACGGCGTTTGCACTTGATACATGCACATCTCTGTGGGTGTAGGACAGTGACGTCAGCAAGGCGTGGTAGGCACGGTGCTCACGCCTACGGCGAAGCCTGGCTCGTCTCAGACCTGGGGACAAGGAGGACCGGCGTCAGTTTAGGCTCTTGTTGTATTTGGAGAAAGTTTAGACACCATTCTGGTAAGAGTTTTTAGGGAAAGTAAAGATGTTACTAGTTAGTTAATTTAAACTCGAGTATTTGAGGAAAGGGATCACAGCAATATAGAGTATATAAGATAAGTAAGGACGTCAGGTTTTGAAATCAGTTTGAGTTAACCTCGTCGACACTGGTTTATAAGACACTAATTGTGTTATTAAGACTTTCCTTTGATTTATTGTTATAATCGTATGCTGAGGATGCTAGTGATCTGGTATACACATATCCGGGAAGAGATATGATGTTCCTTAATATTTGCGTTCGTTGTTGTTTGTTGTTGTTGTTGTTGTTGTTGTTGTTGTTGTTGTTATCATCATTGTTATTGTTGTTGTTGTTGTTGTTGCTGTTGTTGTTGTTCAGACCAGAAACAAGATGAAGAATTGATGAGACTTGAACATTCAAAGGAGTTCAATACAATTGGGAGACCTGCCTAGAGACCGGAACATCTCCCGTTGAGTTCTCCCCCTTGCGCCGATTGACGTCATTGTCATGGCGGTGTGCACACTGAGAGGCGAAAATACTGCGTTTGTCATTAGCTGTGGATGTAATTTTGCAAACAGGGAGAGGGCGAATGGTGTGCTGGCGTTGGACAGCCGGTACACCAGTCCCATCGTGCGTCTGTCCAATCTGGTGGGCGGTCCGTTGGGAATTCTCCTCGCGTTCCCGCGTCCTCGTCCTCTGTTCCGACCCCCACGACCTCGGTCTCTGTCCCTGCGGCGCGATCCTGGACGACCCCGTGATCCCATGCCGTCACCTCCTGAGTCTGCTATACGTCCTTGGCGAGCGCTGGGGATATCAGGAGATTTGGTTTTGGGGGTTATTTTTTTCTGTTGTTTTTGTTTTTGTTTTGTTTTTTTAAGTTTTTAAAATTGTATTTACTCGTGTTTTACGCCTTCATCGACACAATTAAGATAAGATAAGATAAGATACGATAATACTTTACTATCCCAGAGAGAATTTTTTCTTGGCTGAACAGAACCATAAAAACACATGCAGGTATACATTAAAAAAAACTAAATTAAATATTACTCTCCTTAAAATTCAACATGAAAAGAGAAGTAAAGCCGACAAAATATTCATATCACATCAGATGCTTCATTCAACCACATGCAGGAATTTGATTACAAGACCTCTGGAGTTATATACTAGTAGATGCATACTCTAAAGAGCAATACACATTATGCTTATTCTGACAATAGCCTTTTGCTAGACGGTAAAAAAAACTTCTTTTATATCTGTCTTTCTTTGTTTTTGGAGGTACATATCTGCCCCTGCGTGATCTTACAATTTGCTTGGAAAGAGGGAGTGAAGGGTCGTGTATAATGCTTTTTATCTTTTTTTCTTTAATTGTGGTGTTATACATTTCATCAATTCTATTAAAACCATATCCAGATATCTTGCTGGCTTTCTTAATGGTTCTGTCAATTTTTTATGTATCTTTCACCTTACAATTCCCAGCCCAGCAGCAAATACAAAATTATAGCACGCTTTCAATCATAGACTGGTACAAAAGGGACATAATCGTATTATCAACACGGAAACTTCTTACTTTCCTTAAAAGGAACATTCTTTGTTTTACCTTTTTATGCACAAGAACAGCGTGGGGATGCCAGTCAAGTTTGTTATCGATTGTTACGACAAGATACTTGTAAGAGCTTACTACCTCCACGTCCTCATCTTTAATAAATAATGGTTGCAATTGGTCTTTTTTTACTCTAAAGTCAATTATTAATTCCTTTTGTCTTTTTTACATTTAGTAAAAGGAAGTGGTTATCACACCGATTTGTAAATACATTTACAGCGTCCCTGTATTCATTCTTATTTTTTGTTATAAGGCCTAATTTAGATCACTTAGGATTGCCAGGGTCACCCAGGCAGAGTGGGATACGGTATTAAAGCAGATAGATGGCGTTATTCGACCTTAAAAAAGAACCCAACCTTTTATCATACTGGAATTGAATTCAGTCCTCTACATGTAACGACAAATAGCGTAACTGCTACACCAGAGACACAAACTGATATAGAGTACACAGGGTCAGAGTTTAGTTTTAGTAGAGGTTTTACGGAGCTCGCAACTGCATTAGGTCATTGTGAGCTCCAGAACATTAGAGGTGTAACAAGAGAGTAACGAACTTTGAAAAGAAGAAGGGGAGATAAGGACGATAGATGTTTGATAGGAAAGAAGAAGCAAACCACACCAGAGCACCCGCCAACCGCCCACGTGCCAGAGTTGAATTCAATAGATGACGAGTGGACATGAATACTGCTGGGATGGGAAAGAGATCGGAGAAATGTAAGTATGTGTCGTTGGTTGTTTGTCGGTTTGTTGTTGGGTTTTGTTGTTTGTTTGGTGGGGGTTTTTTGGAGGGGGGGGTGCAATGAGGTAAGGGTCGGGAGGGGGGTATGGCGGAAGCTGCTGCAAAAGCATTTTTCCGCCGTTTACGTAGGAACGAACCCGCAAGATATATAATTTAATATAAATACAAGTACATAGCAAAACAGGACAGGTATGAATTTTTCCTGGTTTGCAGTTTAATATTTTCGGATGTTGAACGTGTTGACTTCGGTGGTAATGAATTTTGTTCACATTTTCAGTTGCGTTGTATATTGACTGGCTTGAAACTTCAAACAAACAAAACATACACTATATAAAGAGTTTACCTTAGAAATCTTCCTTATAAATAGTTATAGATATTTTCTGCAGCAAACGGATATTTTCTTTTTACCTCTTTTTATCTTTTTTGAAAAAACAAAAAAACAAAGCGTCTATTTCAAGACAACGAGAGACGTTCAAGAATGTTCTTCCAGTAACATTTCCAAAGCAGCATTATCGATTCATATTGCAGCACCATAAAGTGTTGACCTCATTCTTTTATATTTTTGAAACTATATAAACTATATAGGACTAAATATATAAAGTAACAAATTAAGTTCAAGTTCTCGCGACCTCGGTGCTTTCTTGTCCTATCTCCTTGTTTTTTACATTGAAAATGGGACTTTTTCTTAAGCTCATTCTTTGTTATGGACTGTTTTCACTGTAATTAAAAATGGAGATGTGACAAGAAAACACTGCGGTCGCGTTCTGGCGAAGTCTGAAGTTTTCTCTTCTTTATTAGAATCTCTTTTCTACTCCTTTTCTTCTTAAACAGCACTGACCTGTCGGTGGCACCGATCCACGAGTTGCCGGAGATTGCTCGCTGAGCGCTCCTGACCACTCTCAAGAGAGGCTCGTCCATGAGGCTGCCCTGGTCTCTCTCATCATCGGTCTCGGCACTGGCGTACAGGGCTGCAGGAAGAAAAAGAAGAAGAAGAAGAAGAAGAAGAAGAAGAA